GCTGACCAACGCACCAGCGACATTTCAGATGACCATGAACGAGGCATTTAGGCCACTTTTAGATAAATGCGTGATAGTTTACCTCGACGACATCCTCGTCTACAGTCGCGACAAGCAGCATCACTTAGCAGATCTGGAAGCAGTGTTTAAAAATTTAGACGAGCATCGGCTACTGACAAAGGGTTCCAAGTGCGCGTTTTTTTAGGACTGGCTAGAGTTTTTGTGGCACGTTATTTCGGAGGCTGGGGTCAAAATTGACCCGAAGAAGTTAGACACGGTAAAAGCCTGGCACCCCCCGACGAATATCATGGAACTGCAGAGCTTTTTGGGGATTGTCAATTACGTGCGACGGTTCGTCCCCGACATGGCACGGTTAACTGCGCCGCTGACGGACTTGCTACGGAAGGGGGTCGCTTTTACGTGGGGGGAGAAAGAGCATGCTGCCTTCTCTGCCCTGAAGAATATTCTCTGTTCACCGCCCGTACTGCGCATCGCCGACCCACACCACCCATTTGAAGTAGTTACAGACGCAAGCGATGTCGCCATCGGAGCAGTACTGCAACGGCCTACAGCCCATCGCATACGAGTCACGAAAACTGCATCCGCCCGAGAAAAAATACCCGATACACGACCGCGAAATGCTCGCGATCGTGCACGCGTTCAAAGTGTGGCGCTGTTACTTGACCGGCGCAGACGTGACAGTACGGACATACCATAAATCACTATAGTACCTCCGTGCACAGCCCCACCTCAACCCACGACAGATTCGCTGGCTCGATTTCCTCGAGTCAAACTTCCACTACACTGTCACCTACAGAAGGGGCATCAAACATCGCCGACGCACTGACCCGCCCCACTGCCCAGATCCATGCAATACTACTCGCCCAGACCAGCCCATTATTGACAGGCCTATTCACCCACGGGTACCAAACGGATCCATTCTTCATAGGAGGAAATTCGCAGCAGTTCGCAGCAGCAAAGGGAGTCTAGTCTATTACGTAAAAGCCGGGACCGACCGCATCTAGGTACCAGGGTACACACTGCTACGAGAATTACTGTTACAGGAGGCACACGGCGGAGTTACCTCGGGACACTTCGGGGTATGGAAAGCACGGCAGCAGCTGCAACGGTATTATTACTGGCCCGAAATGTTGACCGACGTTCAACGACAAGTGGCATCGTGTCTCACTTGCCATATCATGAAGTCATCACGACAGCGGTCGGCAGGACAATTGCAGCCAATACCACCCCCAGAGCGTGCTTGGCAGCAGGTGACGATGGACTTCGTCACGGGGTTACCGGTCGGAGCGAGTGGGAACGACGCGATCCTGGTCGTCATCGATCGACTGACGAAAATGGCACACTTCGCAGCCTGGAAGAAATCAATCACAGCCGAAGAAATAGCTCGCCTCTTCATTTCCACCGTCGTTTGACTGCACGGGATACCAGCAGCGATCATCAGCGACAGAGACACGAAATTCACCAGCAACTTCTGGCGGAACCTGCGGCAGCAGTTCGGCACGCGACTACAGTTCAGTTCTTCGTACCACCCCGAAACCGACGGACAGACAGAAAGGACAAATCAGACCATGGAGCAACTCATCCGAGCAATGTGCGATAATCCAACCACCTGGGAACAGCAGCTGCCACTCATCGAGTTCGCGTACAACAACTCACCGTCCGCCACGACCCAACAGTCATCGTTTTACCTAAAACTACGGACAAGACCTGACAGTACCCATGACCCCAAATCCCGACAACCCGGTGCCACGAGCGCAACAGTTCGCCGAAATGTTACAAGCAGCACGGACCCGGGCAACAGACGCAATTAAAAAATCGAACATCATCGCTAAATGCAACGCCGACCGCCACCGCCGACCTGTCACTTACCAGCCGGACGACCTAGTTTTACTTGACACCCAGAACCTTCGCCCGCCCATTACCCCAAAACTTCGCCCTCGATACTGTGGACCATTCCGCATCAGCCACATGATTACACCCGTCACCGCCCACCTCCTCCTCCCCCCTGACTGGTACGTCAGCCCGTCTTTCCACGTCAGTCTGCTTCGCCCCTACGTACCATCCACAAGCCAACTGCCACGCAACCGCCCAGCCAGCATGACACGACCGCCGACCGAGCCAATCATAACGCCCGAGAAGATTCTGAGCCACCGAGTTCGTGACCCACGAGGAGCCCGAAGGATCGAATTCCTGATCCGCTGGAGAGACCGTACACCCACCGAAGACAACTGGGTTCCCCTGGACAGAATCGAAAACCACCCCGTCCTCACCGAGTACCTGCGCAGCTGAAATTTCCGGGATGTACACGCGCTTTCGTAAGGAGGGCCTCCTTTGGGGGGGGGGGGGGTAGTGTAAGGAAAATTCCTTTTTCTTACTTCGCGTCCCTGCTCGGCGCGTATACCACTGTTCCCGCCAACAGCACCTAACAGTAAACCGTTACCATTCGCGACATTCGCCTCGACACTGCTCCCGCCACTGTTCACGACGCGACCCACCCAACCTCACGGTTCAATTGGTAACCCGCGCTCCAAACCTCCGCCGCGGCAGTTCCCAACCTCGGCACCCGGCCCGTCGTGCACCCCATTTCACGCATTACCGTTACCACTATAGTTTCGCTACATATTCTTCGCTCATGCCTTCGCTCATTGTACTCTTGCTTCGATAGTGCAATTCTCGCTCGATCACTCCATTGCACTCGTAACATCGACCAATAATATGTATAAAACTTCATAAAATGAGCAGCAATTTTCACCGCATTAAATCAAGCTTGGGCATGTAGAGACCCATGAGTATCTGTTATAGTGGGAAGCATTGAATACAATTTAGGACAAAGATAACATTTGAATGCAAGATTTTGAATCAACAACACAGAAAAGTGCAAATTATGTTGTATCTTATTCCAGGTTGGAGGATTTTGCAAAACTTACTGTGGTGACAGCGGAGAAGGTCTTGTATTGAGTTCCCAAGGTGCCTGGTGCTCGCTTGGGATTGCCTTGCCTTGCCTTGCCGTATCACTTAGGTGGACTTCTCGTCAAAGAAAGCACGGATTTAATATCTCGGCCAGTGATCAGTTAGGGAAAGCACGTCGCAATCCTTCGAGCCCGCGTATAATACTTCTCGCAAAACCAGCAAAGTGGGAATTCCTAGGTTCTGACCTGAAGTTTGGGTGGAACCCTGTATTGAGCTGAGGATTATCAGCTCAACGGATCACTTCATACATTCTCGCATTGCTCGCGCATCGGTTTCCTGTTAGCTTCACGCTGCCGTTGAATCGAACTTCGTTAAATTGAGCGGGCCCATTACATCTTGTTTCTATTCATGGGGCGTCGCGTGCGATCAGCGTTCGCTCTCACAATGCATGTGTAGCCGGAGTCACAGCGCTGGCTGATCAGTCGCCGAGTCACAATGACGATCAACGCGGTGCTCGAGGCGGACCTGCGCTCCATTTCCGCTGAGGCTCGCCGGCGATTCCCCGCCGTGAAGGACGCCGCGGAACGTGGAATCCTCAAGGTGTGCTGCATGGATTGGCTCAGCTGATCCAGTGCTCTCACTTCCAGCTGTCGTGTTCCCCGTGCTGACTTCTGAGGCTGCTCAGAAAGTTCTTTGTGCTAAGATGTTGTGCCTCTGGCGTTTGTCTTTTACTGACATGAACCGCGTCCTCTCCTGCTGCGCCCTCCTTGCCATTACTCAGCTGCGTTCTCTGGCAGGTCCCGAAGCCATTTCAAGAAGTGATGAATTATTGCGAATCTTCCTGCTGGCGTGCGACACAAGGCAGCCGCGGCTGTGCGCCTTGGGATTGTCGTGCGTGCAGAAGCTGGTGGCCAACAACGCAGTGCCGCCTGCTGCCTTACCGGATATATTGACCACGCTCAGAGAGGTGAATCACGGCGCTCCCTAATTCAAACGGTTTGCAGATATGCAAGCCAGTTGTTAATCACTCCACAATGATGCAAAGCTCTCTGACCGCAATCTTGCGGTGATGCGCCACATTCTGACTGACATTTATTGCACTGGCTGACGTGTACCGCCGCAGAGATGCAACTGGCGGATCTCACATTGATGCAGCTTATCCTGTCTGACGTGTATTGTAGTCCTCAACTGAAAATCTCCTGCAGTGGAGCATCTCCTCTCATTTAACTAGCATTTCGATTTCTGACCCGCATGTCTTGCATGATGCATCAATGACATATGTCCTCCTGACTGACAGATTTCAGTGATGCTCATTCTGATCCGAATGACGTTTGGTGCAGTCATGCATCAATCCTGACTGACAATTGTTGCACTCATGCATCAATCCCGACTGAAATTGCTTGCAGTGATGACATTGGAATGCACAGCTTGCAGCGGTGCAGGGCGTCTGCCTTACATATATGTGCCTGACACACGATGTATCCTGAAACCTATGCAGGCAACGGTGCATGCAGAGCATTGAATTCACGTTGCTGGCTGTAGAACCGTTGGTGTGGCGAAAATTGCTGATGCGGCAGTGGTGCAGGCATCCACTTTCAGCTCGCTGGCAACGCTAGTCAGCCCTGTCTGCACCTGTCGTCCATTCCAATCTGTTACGCCCTCGTCTTGCCTTAGTGTGTTCATTCCTCCCCCCTGCGTGCCCTCCCCAGCACGCGGACGGGTCAGAGGAGGCGGTGCAGCTGAAGGTGCTGCAGACAGTGCTGACAGTGCTGCAGTCGCAGCTGCACCCCAAAGATGAGGTGCGCTGCCATGCCATGCCAGTGCCACCCCTCACTCTCATGGCGAGGTGGGGTCTGTACGCTTGGTGAAACTGTCTCACGGATGTATTCGGATGAGAAGAACGAGGAGCATAAGGCATGCATGCAAGCACTGGGACATGCATGCATGCACATGGTCAGGAGCTCGGCATGTTGCATACAAGGTTGACACAGTGCTCTCATCAAGTCTGTAGCCACATGCGTGCACCAACTTCGTCCATGCATGTGCCCATCTCCCCACCATGTGTGCAGGAGAGCATGGCCATCATCCTTGGCATCTGCCTTCGCCTTGCAGGCAGCACTCGGCAGCTGGACTGTGTTCACAGGTAGGGAGAGGGATGTTCTTGTGTGCTCGTGTGTATGGCCTCTGAATGCCTGCTGTCGCTCGCAACCACGGGCTTGCAATGTTGTCCTGACCCTGCTGCTGCACTCTATTTTCGCACATTCATTCCCTCCCCCTCAACCCAAACCGCGTGCATGTGCGTGTACGTGTGCGTGATTGTGTCTGTGCGTGCATGTGTGCATGGCAGCACGGCCACAGCAACGCTGCGGCAAGCCATAGCGCTCATCTTCGACAGAGCTGCCAGCAGCGAGGGCCTGCCGGTGCAATCTGCCCCCCGCCAGGCCAACCGTGTGTGGAACACCTCCGAGCCGGGCGACATCAGCCGCATCGTCATGGCCTCCAGGTGAGCCCGCTGGTGGGCACCATTGGCATGCCATTTGAGAGTACTTGCCATAACATTTATGCTCCCCCTTGTGGCACATGAACCCGTGGCAGGGCGACGGAGGGCGAGGGGGCGGGGCGGGGGGTGGGGGAGGAGCTGGAGACGGTGGTGCTCAAGGAGCGCGTGGACGACCTCTCACCCGCAGCCCGCATGGGCCTCCGCCTGCTCGAGGATCTCGCCGCTCTCGCTGCGGGCCAACAGGTGCGCACTGGGCAGGGAGCTTCAGCAGGGCAGCGTCGTAAGGGGCGGGTGGGAGGGGGGGGCTGCTGGTAGAGCGGGAGCTGGGAGGGAAATATACTTGAAAAGGGATGTTAGCGTCAGATCAGATGTGATTTGCACATTGCAGTGATGCAGTTTCCTCTCTTCTGCTGATCTCGTGGCAACCACTTGAATATGTGTGCCCTGTGCCCCCACTCTCCTGCATCTTTCCCACATGGCAGGCGCAGTGGCTGCACGTGCCGTCACTGCAGCGCACGTTCGCCCTGGAGATGCTGGAGTACGTCGTGTCCCACTATGCCACGCTCTTCCGCCGCCTCACTCCCTACCAGCAGGTCAGCCATGCTCCCTGCCGTGCTACCATGCATGGGCTGCGCCACTCGTGAGGCATCATCAGTCAACAACATTCTACCTGTCCCACTGCAGCTTATTTTCCGAATCGCGTGAATTGCACGAGCACAAGATTGAATCAGGAAATTTGCAGGAGGTTTACCAGTAACGTTTCGCACTACTCCAGTTGCATGACTCCAAATCAATCGAGCACTGCTGTTGTAAACTTAATGAATGAGCCTCACAATATGGGCCCCGAGCTTCAATCCACATTTTTTTTTTTCCTGATTTCCAATTTCCCTTGCATCCACGTTCCTGTCCCTTGGCTCCCTCTCCACCTCTGGTGTGCCCCACCAGGTGCTGCAGCACAAGCTCTGTGCACTCGTGATGACGTCACTGCGCTCCACAGGCTCTGAGGTGAGTGCCATCGTGTGTTTGCTTCTGCATATCGTGTCGCAGCACTAGCAATTGCCGTATCACCTAATCTTTTCTCCATGTACATGGGGTGTTGTGGGCATCATCAGGAGGGGGATGTGGGCGAGCCAGGGTACCGGCGGTTGGTGCTGCGCTGTGTGGCCACTCTCGTGCGGCAGCACCACGCTCAGCTCACCACTGAGTGCGAGGTGAGGGCACTGGGACACGCATGCGGCCGGTAGCCATGGCACTTGTTGACCCTTCTTTCATTGCTGCTTCTCTTCCGTGTGCTCGGCCTCATCGTTCTTCCCAACCATCGGAGAAACTTTTATCCCGAGCAGGTGTTTCTGCTGATGCTGGTGAAGAGCGTGGACCAGGACCTGCCTCTCTGGCACCGCATCCTCGTGCTTGAAGTGCTCCGGGTATGCGCCACACCACACCGCGCCCTCTGGTTAGATGCGACGGGTAGGCTATGCCAGCTAGTGATTGCTTGGCCACTCGAACCCGGTTGCCAGCATGCTTTTTGAGTAAGTGGTTGCGGTAGGCCCTTCACCTGTCCCAGTGCAAACGGTCACTAAATCTATGTGCAGATGAGTGGAAGATGGAGGGCATGTTATGGTGGCTTCATCCCGTGTGATTGCATTGCTAACTTGACACTTTCACGCACGTGTGTGCGTGTGTGCGCTCGTCTGCATGCAGGGCTTCTGCGTGGAGCCAGGGACCCTTCAACTCATATTCAACCTGTTTGACATGTGAGTGCTCTCACACTGTTCCGTATACGAGGGATTTCACCTTGTGATGCGAAAAGTTCATTGTTTGGCGTGTAAGAGCAGGTTCATGCGTGCCAGTGGTACTCGTGTCAGCGTATCATCAGATTTAGTGTTCACGGTCTTAAAAAAATGTAACTAGTGAAGGATTAAATGATATCCGATTATAGTTATTCTGGGCGAGGTAGATTTCTCCTGGAAGTACTTTAAACAGCACATGCAATTTCTGGAATTCTTGTTGCCGTCGTTTTCTCTGCGAACGTCCACTTGCTTTGCTCTTCCCCCCCTGAGCGTGGCTGTTGCGTGTGTGTCAGGCAGCCGGGCAACAGCAGCATAGTGGAGGAGATGGCAGTGGCGCTGGCACACGTGGTGCAGAGCGTGCAGGTCTGCTGCTGCGCTGCTGCCCTCATGCACTCGGTCGTTGATAACACCCATTGTCACCACACAGATGTGCCACCATGCTGACATGGTCTCAGCAGCACATCACAACCAACTTCTTCCCCTATGACCATCATCCCCACCTCGTTGTGAAACTTCCCACAATGACTCCTTTTTCTCTCATTGTCCATGAACACTCCAATCCTCGCCCCTCCTTATTTCCTCATGTATGTGTGTGTGTGTGTGTGTGTGTGTGTTGTGTGTGTGGGTGTATGTGTGTGTGTGCGCGCGCACGTGTGTGTGTGCATATTCATGTATGCATGTGTGCTTGCACTTTGGTGTGCGCGTGCATGTGCATTTGTTTGTTCATGCGTCACAGGTGCCGGACTCCAGTGAGGAGAGTCTAGCTGCAGTTGCCGGCATGTTCAGCAGCAAGGCCAGAGGTGATTCTCCCTTTGCTCTACGCCGTTGGATCGTCTCCCCCTGTCAGCAGGCTAGCTTGCTAATGCATGTGTGTGTGCCTCGTGGTTGGGGGCAGCAGGGGTGGAGTGGTCGATGGACTTTGACTGGGCGGGCAACGCAGTGGTGGCGGCCAGTGAGGCGCACGCCATAACGCTGGCGGTGGAGGGGCTGCTGGGCATCGTCTTCACCATCGCTCTGCTCACCGACGAGGCCATGGATGACTCACACCCGCACTCCGCCTCACCTCCCAAGTCCCCTCTCGCACCGCGCAAGCAACCTGATGCTCAGACCGTTGCCCAGGGCGGTGGGGCTGCTGCAACAGACGGTGCTTCAGGGGTTGGTGGGCGCCAGGGTGAGGAGGGGGCATCACCTGTAAGCCCTCCCTCCCCACGGGTGCCAGGCAAGCACCCTGCCTTGCTGGCTGAGTCCGACTCCCATGCGCCCTCCCCAGGGCTCACTCGCGGCCTGCTGGCCCTGCTGGGCGGCATGCAGGAGGAGGGCGATGGGAGCGAGTGGGTGAAGAAAGGAGCTCAGGATGATGAGGATGCGGAGAGCAGGGGCGGCAGTGCAGAGGGGCGGGTGCGCGGAGCACTGGAGGAGCTGTGTGTGCGCATGGTGGATGCCGTGTGGAAGACCGTCCTCGATGCTCTCTCCATCATTCTTGCCCGGTCTGTGCCCTTCCCTGCCCACTCACAAACACAGAGCTGCTTACAGGCACACACACCAATTGAGCACACACTATCTATGCGCACGCCACCATTTTCGAATGCACCAAGTATTTCGCTTATCCATGCCCAGTTGTGTAGGCGGTTGCTCAATGCATGGCCCATCCATGTAAGCTACTCTGTTCATCTGTTTCCCCCCTGTATCTGCAGGTCACAGGGCGAGGCTGTCATTCTGGAGATTCTTAGGGCATACCAGGCGTTCACCCAGGTGAGATGAGATGGGGTGAGGGCATGTGACGCTTTTAACAAGGTAAGATGAGGGCATCTGTAGCTTCTACCCAGGTGAGGTGAGGATGCACCAGGTGGTTGCTGATGCTATAGTTTCCTGGCCAGACACTGCCTCTTTGTTGCCTTGCTCCGTGCACTCACTTCCTCTTCCTCCGCATGCCCCAACCACCCTCATTGCTGTGGCCACCAGGCATGTGGCGCGTTGGACCTGGTGGACCCGCGGGACGAGTTCCTCGCATCGCTGTGTCGCTTCACCCTCGTCGCCTCGCCATCCATGACCACCATGGCGCCCCCCGGCCAGCCCTTTGACTCCGACCGCTTCCAACTGCCCTCCTCCCCGTCAAGGTCAGCGCACTCGGTTGCCATGCTCATCCCATGCACTCCTCTCTCTCCATTGCACATCAGGGCCACTACGCCATCACTCCATAACGCCCTCGCACATCACCACCAAACGCCTCTGCAAATGCCACAAATTTCAATGAGAATCTGTATCATTTGAGCCTTACACTCTTGACGGTTCATGAAAGGACGTTGACTTGGTGGTACGTGCGTGCAGCGCGTACCTGTCGCCCATGAGGTCGCTGGATGCACTGCTGGGCGTGGAGTCACGGGGGGACCTGCTCGCCTCTACCATGGGCTCCGCTGCTGCCGCCTCTGCTGCTGCCCTGGGGCAGGGCGTGCCCGTGCTCACCCCCAAGAACATGCATGCCCTGCGCACCCTCTTCAATGTCTCCCACCGCCTCTGCGCCGTGCTTGGACCGTCCTGGGAACTGGTGTGTGCCCATTTCCAGCTTGCACCATCGACCTGTACCTAGTGTTGTGCGCACTCTATATTCGCCCAGTTACGCATGACATGTTCCACCATGGCATGTTCCACCATGGCATGTTCCACCATGGCATGTTCCACCATGGCATGTTCCACCATGGCATGTTCCACCATGGCATGTTCCACCATGGCATGTTCCACCATGGCATGTTCTATCAAAGCCGACTTGTGCTCCTTGCCATGTTATGCCCCCGTGCCCTGTGCGGCACGTATCATGTTGCCCGTCACACCAGGTGATGGAGACTCTGGCTGCCCTCGACCGCACCATCCATTCGCCATACGCCACCAGCCAGGCATGTAGCATGGCCAGGCATGTAACATGACCACGGATGTAGCATGGCCTGGCATGTAACATGACCACGGATGTAGCATGGCCAGGCATGTAACATGACCACGGATGTAGCATGGCCAGGCATGTAACATGACCACGGATGTAGCATGGCCAGGCATGCAGCATGGCAGGCATGTAGTGCTGTGAATGTTGTGCAAAACGTTATGAGGTGAAGGGCATTGCTGCACGGCCTGTATTGTCAGGAGTGTCCATGTGGCATCAGTATGCAAGGTGAGGTACCACTCCAGTATGCATGCAGTGATGTGATGCCACCAGACGTGCATGTGCGTGGTGTGGTGGTATGCAGGACGTATCCACATCAGCATCAACGCCATCAGCAGGGTCGCGCGGGTCCAAGGAGCTCACAGGCGCGCCCTCCTCACTGCAGTCCGACTTCTCCGTGCTCGCCACCCTCGATGCACAGGTACGTATGCCTGCCACCCTCGATGCACAGGTACGTATGCCTGCCACCCTCGATGCACAGGTACGTATGCCTGCCACCCTCGATGCACAGGTACGTATGCCTGCCACCCTCGATGCACAGGTACGTATGCCTGCCACCCTCGATGCACAGGTACGTATGCCTGCCACCCTCGATGCACAGGTACGTATGCCTGCCACCCTCGATGCACAGGTACGTATGCCTGCCACCCTCGATGCACAGGTACGTATGCCTGCCACCCTCGATGCACAGGTACGTATGCCTGCCACCCTCGATGCACAGGTACGTATGCCTGCCACCCTCGATGCACAGGTACGTATGCCTGCCACCCTCGATGCACAGGTACTTATCCTTGCCACCACGTCCTTAACGTGCCACCGTTACTGCTCGCGTACGTTTACTTGCATGCCAGCCATTAGTCAGTGAGTTCACTTGTTGCCACCCCATCCACCCCATGCCGTCATGCCACCACCACGACACTGCCCGCCACCAGCTGTTCCAGAGCACGGCCCACATGGACACCCCAGCCGTGCTCGCCCTGCTGGCGGCCCTGCGAGTCGTGTCCAACCGCGCGCTGCACTCCGTCACCACCGGCCTCGGCATCGCTGCCTCGGGCTCCTCTGCTGCTGCTGCCGCCGCTGGCACGTCTGCTGCTGCTGCGGCGGTGGCGTCTCCTCTCACCACGGGCGCGCTGCCGTCCACGCTCAAGATGTTTGCCGTGGAGCGCATGCTCTCTGTGCTCACCCACAACATGCACCGTGAGTCCTCACCCACTCAACAAGTGCGGTGCAGCGTATGAGCGGGCGGTGCAGCGTATGAGCGGGAGGTGCAGCGTCGGTGCAGCGTATGAGCGGGCGGTGCAGCGTATGAGCGGGTGGTGCAGCGTATGAGCGGGCGGTGCAGCGTATGAGCGGGCGGTGCAGCGTATGAGCGTGCGGTGCAGCGTATGAGCGTGCGGTGCAGCGTAAGAGCGGGCGGTGCAGCGTATGAGCGTGCGGTGCAGCGTATGAGCAGGCGGTGCAGCGTATGAGCGGGCGGTGCAGCGTATGAGCGGGCGGTGCAGCGTATGAGCGGGAGGTGCAGCGTATGAGCGGGCGGTGCAGCGTATGAGCGGGCGGTGCAGCGTATGAGTGGGCGGTGCAGCGTATGAGCGGGCGGTGCAGCGTATGAGCGGGCGGTGCAGCGTATGAGCGTGCGGTGCAGCGTATGAGCGGGCGGTGCAGCGTATGAGCGGGCGGTGCAGCGTATGAGCGGGCGGTGCAGCGTATGAGCGGGCGGTGCAGCGTATGAGCGGGCGGTGCAGCGTATGAGCGGGAGGTGCAGCGTATGAGCGGGCGGTGCAGCGTATGAGCGGGCGGTGCAGCGTATGAGCGGGTGGTGCAGCGTATGAGCGGGCGGTGCAGCGTATGAGCGGGCGGTGCAGCGTATGAGCGTGCGGTGCAGCGTATGAGCGTGCGGTGCAGCGTAAGAGCGGGCGGTGCAGCGTAAGAGCGTGCGGTGCAGCGTATGAGCGGGCGGTGCAGCGTATGAGCGGGCGGTGCAGCGTATGAGCGGGCGGTGCAGCGTATGAGCGGGAGGTGCAGCGTATGAGCGGGCGGTGCAGCGTATGAGCGGGCGGTGCAGCGTATGAGCGGGTGGTGCAGCGTATGAGCGGGCGGTGCAGCGTATGAGCGGGCGGTGCAGCGTATGAGCGTGCAGTGCAGCGTATGAGCGTGCGGTGCAGCGTATGAGCGGGCGGTGCAGCGTATGAGCGGGCGGTGCAGCGTATGAGCGTGCGGTGCAGCGTATGAGCGGGCGGTGCAGCGTATGAGCGGGCGGTGCAGCGTATGAGCAGGCGGTGCAGCGTATGAGCGGGTGGTGCAGCGTATGAGCGTGCGGTGCAGCGTATGAGCGTGCGGTGCAGCGTATGAGCGGGCGGTGCAGTGTATGAGCGTGCGTGCGGTGCAGCGTATGAGCGGGCGGTACAGCGTATGAGCGGGTGGTGCAGCGTATGAGCGGGCGGTGCAGCGTATGAGCGGGCGGTGCAGCGTATGAGCGTGCGGTGCAGCGTATGAGCGGGCGGTGCAGCGTATGAGCGTGCGGTGCAGCGTATGAGCGGGCGGTGCAGCGTATGAGCGTGCGGTGCAGCGTATGAGCGGGCGGTGCAGCGTATGAGCGGGCGGTGCAGCGTATGAGCGGGCGGTGCAGCGTATGAGCGGGCGGTGCAGCGTATGAGCGGGCGGTGCAGCGTATGAGCGGGCGGTGCAGCGTATGAGCGGGCGGTGCAGCGTATGAGCGGGCGGTGCAGCGTATGAGCGTGCGGTGCAGCGTATGAGCGTGCGGTGCAGCGTATGAGCGTGCGGTGCAGCGTATGAGCGGGCGGTGCAGCGTATGAGCGTGCGGTGCAGCGTATGAGCGGGCGGTGCAGCGTATGAGCGGGCGGTGCAGCGTATGACCGGGCGGTGCAGCGTATGAGCGGGCGGTGCAGCGTATGAGCGGGCGGTGCAGTGTATGAGCGTGCGTGCGGTGCAGCGTATGAGTGGGCGGTGCAGCGTATGAGCGGGCGGTGCAGCGTATGAGCGGGCGGTGCAGCGTATGAGCGGGCGGTGCAGCGTATGAGCGTGCGGTGCAGCGTATGAGCGTGCGGTGCAGCGTATGAGCGGGCGGTGCAGCGTATGAGCGTGCGGTGCAGCGTATGAGCGGGCGGTGCAGCGTATGAGCGGGCGGTGCAGCGTATGAGCGGGCGGTGCAGCGTATGAGCGGGAGGTGCAGCGTATGAGCGGGCGGTGCAGCGTATGAGCGGGCGGTGCAGCGTATGAGCGGGAGGTGCAGCGTATGAGCGTGCGGTGCAGCGTATGAGCGTGCGGTGCAGCGTATGAGCGGGCGGTGCAGCGTATGAGCGTGCGGTGCAGCGTATGAGCGGGCGGTGCAGCGTATGAGCGGGCGGTGCAGCGTATGAGCGGGCGGTGCAGCGTATGAGCGGGCGGTGCAGCGTATGAGCGGGCGGTGCAGCGTATGAGCGGGCGGTACAGCGTATGAGCGGGCGGTGCAGCGTATGAGCGGGCGGTGCAGCGTATGAGCGGGCGGTGCAGCGTATGAGCGGGCGGTGCAGCGTATGAGCGTGCGGTGCAGCGTATGAGCGGGCGGTGCAGAGTATGAGCGTGCGGTGCAGCGTATGAGCGGGCGGTGCAGCGTATGAGCGTGCGGTGCAGCGTATGAGCGGGCGGTGCAGCGTATGAGCGGGCGGTGCAGCGTATGAGCGGGCGGTGCAGCGTATGAGCGGGCGGTGCAGCGTATGAGCGGGCGGTGCAGCGTATGAGCGGGCGGTGCAGCGTATGAGCGGGCGGTGCAGCGTATGAGCGGGCGGTGCAGCGTATGAGCGTGCGGTGCAGCGTATGAGCGTGCGGTGCAGCGTATGAGCGTGCGGTGCAGCGTATGAGCGGGCGGTGCAGCGTATGAGCGGGCGGTGCAGCATATGAGCGGGCGGTGCAGCGTATGAGCGGGCGGTGCAGCGTATGAGCGGGCGGTGCAGCGTATGAGCGGGCGGTGCAGCGTATGAGCGGGCAGTGCAGGGTATGAGCGTGCGTGTGGTGCAGCGTATGAGCGGGCGGTGCAGCGTATGAGCGGGCGGTGCAGCGTATGAGCGTGCGGTGCAGCGTATGAGCGTGCAGTGCAGCGTATGAGCGGGTGGTGCAGCGTATGAGCGTGCGGTGCAGCGTATGAGCGGGCGGTGCAGCGTATGAGCGGGCGGTGCAGCGTATGAGCGGGCGGTGCAGCGTATGAGCGGGAGGTGCAGCGTATGAGCGGGCGGTGCAGCGTATGAGCGGGCGGTGCAGCGTATGAGCGGGAGGTGCAGCGTATGAGCGGGAGGTGCAGCGTATGAGCGTGCGGTGCAGCGTATGAGCGGGCGGTGCAGCGTATGAGCGTGCGGTGCAGCGTATGAGCGGGCGGTGCAGCGTATGAGCGGGCGGTGCAGCGTATGAGCGGGCGGTGCAGCGTATGAGCGGGTGGTGCAGCGTATGAGCGGGCGGTGCAGCGTATGAGCGTGCGGTACAGCGTATGAGCGGGCGGTGCAGTGTATGAGCGTGCGTGCGGTGCAGCGTATGAGCGGGTGGTGCAGCGTATGAGCGGGCGGTGCAGCGTATGAGCGGGCGGTGCAGCGTATGAGCGGGCGGTGCAGCGTATGAGCGGGAGGTGCAGCGTATGAGCGGGCGGTGCAGCGTATGAGCGGGCGGTGCAGCGTATGAGCGGGCGGTGCAGCGTATGAGCGGGCGGTGCAGCGTATGAGCGGGCGGTGCAGCGTATGAGCGTGCGGTGCAGCGTATGAGCGTGCGGTGCAGCGTATGAGCGTGCGGTGCAGCGTATGAGCGGGCGGTGCAGCGTATGAGCGTGCGGTGCAGCGTATGAACGGGCGGTGCAGTGTATGAGCGTGCGTGCGGTGCAGCGTATGAGCGGCCGGTGCAGCGTATGAGCGTGCGGTGCAGCGTATGAGCGTGCGGTGCAGCGTATGAGCGGACGGTGCAGCGTATGAGCGGGTGGTGCAGCGTATGAGCGGGCGGTGCAGCGTATGAGCGGGCGGTGCAGCGTATGAGTGTGCGGTGCAGAGTATGAGCGTGCGGTGCAGCGTATGAGCGGGCGGTGCAGCGTATGAGCGGGAGGTGCAGCGTATGAGCGGGCGGTGCAGCGTATGAGCGTGCGGTGCAGCGTATGAGCGGGCGGTGCAGCGTATGAGCGGGCGGTGCAGCGTATGAGCGGGAGGTGCAGCGTATGAGCGGGCGGTGCAGCGTATGAGCGGGCGGTGCAGCGTATGAGCGGGCGGTGCAGCGTATGAGCGGGTGGTGCAGCGTATGAGCGGGCGGTGCAGCGTATGAGCGGGCGGTGCAGCGTATGAGCGTGCGGTGCAGCGTATGAGCGTGCGGTGCAGCGTATGAGCGGGCGGTGCAGCGTATGAGCGTGCGGTGCAGCGTATGAGCGGGCGGTGCAGCGTATGAGCGGGCGGTGCAGCGTATGAGCGGGCGGTGCAGCGTATGAGCGGGAGGTGCAGCGTATGAGCGGGCGGTGCAGCGTATGAGCGGGCGGTGCAGCGTATGAGCGGGTGGTGCAGCGTATGAGCGGGCGGTGCAGCGTATGAGCGGGCGGTGCAGCGTATGAGCGTGCGGTGCAGCGTATGAGCGTGCGGTGCAGCGTATGAGCGGGCGGTGCAGCGTATGAGCGTGCGGTGCAGCGTATGAGCGGGCGGTGCAGCGTATGAGCGGGCGGTGCAGCGTATGAGCGGGCGGTGCAGCGTATGAGCGGGTGGTGCAGCGTATGAGTGGGCGGTGCAGCGTATGAGCGTGCGGTGCAGCGTATGAGCGGGCGGTGCAGTGTATGAGCGTGCGTGCGGTGCAGCGTATGAGCGGGTGGTGCAGCGTATGAGCGGGCGGTGCAGCGTATGAGCGGGCGGTGCAGCGTATGAGCGGGCGGTGCAGCGTATGAGCGGGAGGTGCAGCGTATGAGCGGGCGGTGCAGCGTATGAGCGGGCGGTGCAGCGTATGAGCGGGCGGTGCAGCGTATGAGCGGGCGGTGCAGCGTATGAGCGTGCGGTGCAGCGTATGAGCGTGCGGTGCAGCGTATGAGCGTGCGGTGCAGCGTATGAGCGGGCGGTGCAGCGTATGAGCGTGCGGTGCAGCGTATGAACGGGCGGTGCAGTGTATGAGCGTGCGTGCGGTGCAGCGTATGAGCGGGTGGTGCAGCGTATGAGCGGGCGGTGCAGCGTATGAGCGGGCGGTGCAGCGTATGA